GTTACAAAGATTTTTAATTCTATTCAGTCTTAAGCATTCATTAGTGCTAGCTCACTTGCTAGCTTCCTTCTCCCATCTCTCTGCTTCCAGCTTTTCTTGAAAGCTCCCGTGGCTTTGGGAAACCTGTAGGAGGAAAGAGTAGCTTGTATAAACATCTTACTGTGATTTATGTGTGGGCTACAGGAATGTGTCTGAACTCCTGGTCGAGAGGATGAATATGATCTGGGTGTGCATAGATAGGTGTGTGGCCCCCTGCTGTGGTTGGCTCATCAGGTGAGGCCAGCTGTGGGGCCAGCTGGCAAAGGCAGTAATGGCTGCCACTGGGCTGGGGACAGTGAGGCTGCAGGACTTCAGCGTCCTGTGAGCAGCCAGAGTAGGAGATTCCCTCCCTGCCTGCAGATGTGTTGGTGGAGGGCAGAGAGCTGGAGAGCTGCTCACTGTTGGTCACATTCTCCTCAGATGTTTCCTGCCTTGTCTCTCTCTCTGCAGCTTGACTTGGTGTGACTGTTGGGAACTGCTGCTTCTCCTCTGGCTGCTGGTGTGGGGGGATCCTGATGAAGCTGGAGGCTGGGCCTGGGGGGCAACCGATGGCATTCTGGGCACTCCCAGCTTGAGAGCTGCCAGATTTTTTTAGCCTGTAAACAGTGGCTGGCCAAGGGGCCGTGTTTTTCCCTCATGAAAAGGGTATGGTCGAGCGGGCTATATGCTATAAATGACTTTGTGGTGACCGGCCTGCTTAGCTTGTTTAAGCCGATTTTTTTTCCACATCATTTCAGTGTCTTTCCAGTTGCTCTTTTGTATCTCGAAATGAGTGGATTTCTTGTAGCTGAGTTGGTTTTTAACTAATGGGGGGGGGGGGGAGTTGTTCTTTCCAAAGGGGTAACTTTTCTGAGGAAAAAGCTTCTCATTTGATTAGGGGCATCTTGCATTTAAGCTCTTGTCAGACTTACAATTCAATGGGAGTCAGTTGCTCCTGCTTCATGCAGAAGTAACGTATGCCTTCCCTGAAATTTCAGTAATGGCTGGGAGGAAAAAAAAAACCCAAACCCTTCAGTTTTCTTGGGAAAATACGCTGTGTGCAGGAGGCAGGGAAGCACGGTGGAGGATGCAGGGCCATGGCTGCTGCCTCATGCCTAGGCAGGCTGCCCCGGCTCAGCTGGTGAGGAGCACAGCAGCTGGCAGCTGTGAAGGCTGGTGGTAGGAGCTCAGAAGCAGGAGCTCCTGCAGGGTCTTGCAGACACTGCATGCAGTGGTGGTAAACTGAAGTCTGTGTCACGGCTCCATTTTACATGCCTGGTGCTTCTGGTGGCCTGGTCAGTAGCCAGAGGTTTCCCCTGCATTACCTGTGTTAGGTAGAAATGCTATTGCGTCTTAGTGACAGCTTTAAAATGCTTTTTAATGCCACTTCATTACTACCGTAGTTGTTCACAAAAAGGGAACTGTATTTTAGGTTCCTGAATTAGTGCTTTGGCTATTTTTTACCTCTGATAACCCAGGTAGCTGATTCTGCTAGTCTGTAAGTGTAGTTTCCTTTTAAGATGGTTTTGCTAACAGCTGCCATACAGAAGAATTTCTAGGGAGCTGAGAATATGTTCTTCAGTTTGAGCGATCTGATACCTGGCAGTTTCCATGGTGTGTATGCAATACATTCTGTCAGAAACTTTTTTTTGGCACATATTTGGACTTACAGAGGCAACGGATTGTGGTCAATGTCTCTTAATTGTGTTAGTCTAGTCTCTGTTTATATTTGAGCAAATCAGACCACTGGGGAGTAAAGGCATTGATGTATTTGCTTTCAGCATGCTGTGCCAGACAGTTCTGTTCTGTTTCTAAACTAGCTCCTGCTCCTCACCATAAATAGTTCAACAGCACAAAGCTGTGTACCACACCTCCTTTAGAATATTTAGATGAGAGAAAGCTCTTGTCTCCTTATCTTCCTTTTCTAAACAAGTACTATGTTATTAACATCCCATGGGTAAGTGTGAGAGAATTCCAGAAATTATGTAATTATGAATTTAGTTTTGACTTTTTAAAAGACTATTTCAGTGTTACAGTTTGCTTGATTTGAAACTTAAAACATTTTAAAGTAGTGTTAAGTTAGTAATTTTTGTTTTCCTAGCTATATAATTCAAATTATTAATTTTCCTAGCTATATAATTCAAATTATTTTCCCATATCTTGCCAGTCTTTTTCTCAGTGTTTTGACTTCTTGTTGTCTCTAACTTGTATTCATTGGCAGAGAATTGTTTATCATATTTGTAATCTGATCGCGTGTACCAGGGCAGAAAAATAGTTCTTATCCCTTTGCTTACATTCTACCATTCTCTGGTTACTGTTAAGTAGTAAAGGCCATATCTGACCTCAGCAAAGGTTGGAAAAGTTTAGTTAGCATTTGCTAGGAAAAACAGTGATGCAGGATTCTCATGGCAGTGTCTTAGGACCTGGTCCAGTAGGAAGTTCAGCTGTAGGTTCAGTTATACCCTGAGGCTAAGGGTATATTCAAACTGACCTGGCTTCCAGGAGAGTGCCCTCAGAGTGAGGTTAGGCTTCTCAGCGGCCAGGAAGCAATGCTACCTGCTCCATCTGGCTGCAGTAAACTGCCAGGCCAAAGCAGTGCTCTTTCCCTTCATTATCATGGAATGGCTGGAGTTCAACTGCCCTTGCTAGTGTTTACATGACCTGCTCCAATTGTGGAAAGTAAGCAGAAGGACACAGTATTCATTTGTATGTAGACACAGATGAACATAAATAAGTTTTACAGTAATGAAACAATGAATGCCATTCAGGTAATGAAAATGGCTTATTATCAAGGATACTTCACTAGCCAAACTTGATTGTTTGAAAGGAAAGGAAATTTTGATCCTGATGTGATTAAATTTAAAGTAGGCAGTTGCTTCAAAACAGAGATTAAGACCTTGGATTTAATCATAGACAGCAAATTTTCGGGACCTGTTCTTCCTTCAGCAGAAGCCAGAGGCAAAATTCCTGTTGAAGCCAAAGAGGACAAAAGAATGTGAGCTCCAGTTGATAGACATATATAACTGGAAAGTTGCTCATACTTAAACTGTTCAATGGAGGTTTCCATATATTTGATGGCTCTATTTGCATGACAGTTGATCACAAGCTATTCAAATATGTTCTGCTTCAGCTCCCTAAGAAAACCTTTTGTTTACTGTCTCAAGTCCAAACCAAACCCAGTCAGTGAAATTTTTTTGACTGATTTTATTAGGTTGGGGCTTTAAGCTTCGAGTTTCCAGGCAGCTTGTTTTAAGATACAAGTTGGTCTTTGCCAGTGTGCTTAGGACTGCTTTAGCACTTGTGTGCAACAAAGACATTTTCTATGATTTTTGTGGTTTTGATGCTTTCTGGAGCTTAACCCTTTAGCCTAGTGAAGTGAAGTGCTGACAGAAGTGGTGGGGCTAGACAGTGAGAGTTGCCCCATTAAAAAATACGGCTTATAAGAGGTTGTCACCACTTCAGGACAGGGAGATGAAAATGTGTGTATTGTACAGGGCCATACAGCCATACATGGTAGAAGAGAAGGCTTATATGACAACACTAATATGAAATGCAAATAGAAGTAATTAAGAAAATTGATGTGAGAAACCACTGTAAAAAAGTAACTTCAATTTATTTAAGACAGCAAATTACTAGAATTTTGTAAATTTAGGTTGCTCTGAGAGCTTCACTGGGAAGGATGAGTTTTAGACTATGTTAACTACTACTTAATGTAAAATTCAGAAACAGCTCTGGGAGTTGAAGTACCTAAATGCTAAGCTTGGAATTTTCTACAGTTTTTTTGAGTTAAGGAACCATAAAACTGAAACCTTGTGCTGTGGATTTACCCACCTTGTGATCATGGCTGATACCCCTCTACCACACTTCCTCCTCCAAACTTACCTTCTACTTACAGCACAGTCCCAGTCCTTTCCACCCTCCCTGCCTCTGTATCTCATCAGGTCTCAATCCTTTCATCTGTATCCCACTGATATTTTTTTCAGATCAAAACTGTGCTCACAAATGCTTGCTGACACAAACTTTTTAAATTTAAACAATATATGCTTCCTACCTCAGTGTAATCGGGCTGTATGAAGGGTACAATAATGCAGCATCACCGTTCCCATGAAATGGAAATATTTGGACATTTAGCTCTACGGGTTTCAAAGATCCAGACCCGTTTTTGTCTTGATGGATGAATGACATAAGTTAAAAACTGCCCCCTTCTTCGCAATAGTAAAAATGAAGTGGAAGCAAAAATGTGATTCTACTAGCTGGCATGTGATTTGTATTCAGGAGAGTGAACTAGCATCATAGCTAGCATGAAGTGACTAAAACCTTGATACTGACTCACTCAAGATTTTGTATAAATAGTATCCTTGCTGTTTGAGGATGATTTAGGATTTTTTCTTTTGCAAATTGGGATTTAAGATAATGCAGGCTGTTAGGCAGCATCAGATGCAACCTACTCAAGCTATACTCCATGAGGTTCATCACAAAAGCTTTTATATTATAGGATATTAAAACAGATAGCAACAGTCCCAGTTTTTCTTGCCATATATATTTCTATTAAAAGTTTATAAACTAAATGAATTAAACCTCTGCACAAGTGCAAAAGTGATTTTGCATATGAATTTATACAGCAACAGCAAAATAATCATATCTATAAACACATAACAAAATTAAGGATAACAACTAATAGAAAAATACAAGGCATCATTGCCATTCATGTTTAGTGTAATATATAGCCAGTTATAAGTTATTAAAAAATGCACAACAAAATCCTGATGAGTACAATCCCTTCTGTGACACTCCATAGCTACTATGAATTTTACAATCAATAGCAGAGGGGAAGGAAAAAAAAAGGAAATCTTAGACTGATAGTGGAAAATAGAACAGCACTTTCCTTATGTATTCTATTCGTACAAACCCCTTTCTTTTCTAAAGAATACTTGGAGTATGTTATTCACACCAGGAATCTGGAATAACATGGTGAATATTGCATCATTTTAACCATACACCAGTAGGTATAAATATATCAACACATTACTAGGTATGTAATCAAATTAAAGCCTTTTTTCAAGAAAACTATTCTTTCATCTTCAGAGAACCTTACACATCTTTAAAGATGTTTTTATTAGCATTAGAAAACTGTTATCTGTGAGCTACTGAATCCCACTTACATGTCTGCTTATTTTTTTCTTTACTTACACTGTCATATGATATAAATCAGGTTTCAAGGTCTGAGATGGCTTTGGACTTGAATATGAATGCTTTCAGTTCCCAGTGTGTGGTCTAGTTTAATCTCTTTGCCCAAGACTCTTACCTCTGTTTAATCAGTAACAACTTCATAAAATCAAGACAGTAGACAGGAAAAAAAATCTGGTTATCAGATATATTAGGAATATTGCTGTTCACTTCAGTGGTGTAGGCAGGAGTAGTATCAGCTAATATGCTAGGACCCAGATTCTCCCAAAAAAACTACTGTGCCTTAAATACCTTTCAAAAATCTATGCCAAAAGAACCAAACAAGATCAATCCACAGAAATCTGTGGGTCTTTTGATGTCTTTTGATGTAAACTTTGCCAACCAGATGGCAGCATCGTTCACAATAGCAAAACCTCAACTAGTGAAAAATAGACTGTTTAGCTACAATCTGTCATATCTTCTCCTGTCATATCTTTTCCTAAACTGCCTGGCAATAATGGATGTTGTGCAACTGAAGTACTTCACCCTGTCAGCAGAACTCCTTGAAAAGATACAGAAACTACAAAATGCTTATAGAAGATAGTACTATGTATTTAAAACTGTATTATTTTTAACTCATAAGAAGACATCTAGCAAGTGACAGCAAACATGTCAGAGCTGTATTATTCCTCTGCTTATATCTGATAGCCTTAAGTGCATGATACGCATAGCTTTGAATTTGGGGATACTACATATGTATTGAAAATAGTAACTGTTGGCCAAATTCTGCATTTCAGTATCAAGTACAACTTCTAACAACCTCACATAAATTCTTGACTGACTCAAACACAGAAATAAAAGTAGCCTTTCTTCTTCCCTTGCATTATGATAGTATATATAAGAATAAAACATCTGTACTTGAGAGGGACTATTTCAATTTCATGATTTTTGGTTTCAAACTACCAACAGCAGATTTTTGCTTCATTGTTTAGAGTCCAAAAAATCTTTACAGATGCCTCTAATAATATCAGGAACCAACTGCTCCAATCCTGTGAACTCCCTAGTGAAGAAAGTATGAGATTCTCTTGGTTCAGAAGCCATGTCTTTCAGATCATCCAGAGGTGCCCAGGCAACACCAACAGAGAACACAGTTATTCCTACAATAAGGAAACCAAAATTATTAAGAACATTCTGCCTATGGATACAAGAACAGCCATTTCTACATCCATGAATTAATGTGGATTGGAAAAACAGTTTCAATACCTGCAATCAGACAATATCTCAGTCTGTCAAAGATTATTAGAAATATGAGGAATTAGAAGATTTCTCTCAGTGAAAATTCTGAAGGAAATACAGGGTGTCTCAAGCACTAGTGTCTTAGTTGTTTCTGTAGTGACACACATGAATGTGGCAGTTACTAAGTCTTGAAACACAGGTAACACTCTAAAATGATTTTGAAAATAAATTTGGATTGTTTGTGTATGCTCAGTGCTTTCAAGCATCAGCAGTCAGTAAGGTTTTTGGCCAAAACTGCTTATTTCTTTCCTAGATAATGACGGAGAGTAAGCATCATGCTGTATTGGGTCATGGCACTGACTGGAGCTTCACTATCTGGCTTTTTTGTCTACTAATTTCTCTCCTGTTTAGGGAAATTAATCTGGGTGTATGTTTTTCATACCTGGGTACTCACACCTGGCTCCACGGAATTGGGAGCTTTCTTCATCCTAACAGAAAACAGTTCCTTAGGGCTTGCATTTTGCTGAATTTAAAACAGGTATGATACTTAAAGTTTGCAAATACAGCCCCAGTGAGTAAAGTCTTTACAACACAGCAGAAATAGAATGAATCAACTTCCACTACTTTTAAGTATACATCATTTACCTGCTTTTTGTGCAGCAGCAGCAGGTCCTCTAACATCATCGTAAGACTGACCATCAGTCAAAACAAAGAGGAAGTTTTTGTTAGCACCATCTTTCACTGGCCCAAACACATTTCTGGTTGTGAAAGTAATGGCATCACCAGTAGCAGTGCCACCACTCATGTAGCGAATGTTGCGAATAGCAGAGAGGACCTCTTCTTTTGTGTTGTAGTCTGTGAAGCTGAACTCAGTACGCTGATCGTATGTGAACTGCACAGCTGCAATCTTGGAACCTATGTCAGAGATCTCAAAAGCCTTTGCAATGTTGCTGATGAATTCAAGCACAAGGCGGAAGTTGTTGTCTCCAACGCTGCTGGAACCATCAATCAAGAAAGCAATGTTGACGGAGTTGTAGCATGTCTTGCTACAGAACATCTGCTCATGTGAACACAGCTTTTGGACAAGAGGTTTTACGTATTTGGTAGTACCAAACCAGGTGGGCATTTGGTAAGAAAAGAAGCCATTTTTTCGACAGACAGCCTGTTTGAAAACAAGAAGTCAGCAGGTGAATACTGACACAGCAGCTGAATGGATGATAATCAGACACCTGCATGATTTTCTTTCAAAGGAAGGCTAGAAATGGAACCTGATGGTGAGAATTTGGAATCGGGTTTTGCTCATTTGTTTTTAAAGAAATTGAGGACAAACATCCGCAGTTGAAGTCTGAAATCTGTAATGTGTCATAAACACAGATGTACAGTTGGGTAGAAATATAGCTCTAAGTCATTCAAAGTACAATTTCTTTCTCCCTTGGCTTCCATAAGATGCATGTAAAATCCAAGGTAGTTGAGAAAGGGGTTAAATTTTAAATCAGTTCTCCAAGGAGATAACTAATCAAGCTAAGATCAAAATGCAGAAGGGGAGGGTAGGCCTCAGCCATGTAAACTCATGTCTTTCTGTGCCTATATGTAAGGGTTGGACCTGCTTGCAATACACTGGGATCAGCAGCAAGCTGTTTTGTGCCTAGAAGCAGCAGAGCTGTAGTGCTTCATTCTGTTCATTCCCTGAGTTATGAAATTTCCACTGAAACTAGACATCTAAAAGCTCCCTGTGGAAAATGAGAGGTTCTCTCACTGGAGAGTAGTAAGTAAAGACCTAGAGATTAGAAAGCTCACATGGGTGTATGTGATCTGTGTTTGAATTCCTGCTCTAAGTTACACAGAATAAGAAGATCCAAAACTCTTCATCCAAAACTAATATCTTCCACATGAACTTGCTCATTTGCTTGTTTTTTGTTATTTCCTGTCCTCACTGTAATGAAAGTAAGTAAACAATTATCCATAGAAAGATACGCCTCCCTGGCTGCTGTTTCAGGACAGGAGATGTATCTGCATATCATTGCTTTGACACATTTAACAATATCTACCTGAGATAGGGGAATCTCCTACACTGAGAATCTCCATGTAATTACAAACTCCAGGAGCTACAACTTGGCCAAGACTGCAGTGGGGAACACTGGTACCTTTGTGTAGACCCTTAGCAGGAAAAAAAAACAGTGTTTCTTTAACCTCCCTTAACGCTATTCTTTTAAATCACTTATTAGCAGGCATAATTACATTGGTTGTTTTGAGATAATATTTTACATATATACACACACAAAAAAAATATCTTTACTTAAAGAAGTTCTTATAATGTTAATTAGTTCATTAGAATTTTAGTGTGAAGTAAATTCTCCAGAATTACACCCATGACAGAAAAACAAATAATGGTAATCTCTCTTACTTTGTCAACAAAACCAATGTCTTGCACCATTCCCAGCTCCTCTGTTGTGGGCTTTGCTACAGATACAATGAACACGTTGACTCCAAATTCTCTGGCCACTATCCCAGCTTCTTCTAGATCATCTGATGGCCAGCCATCTAGAAACACTACAATGATCTTGGGAATTCCTTTGCGTGCTCCATTTTCCAAAGAGAAGAATTTCTGAGCTGTGTGCTTCAAAGCTTTCCCTAGTTTTGAACAGGAAAACAATATAAAGAAATAATGCATACCATAATGGTGCAATTTGGTTTCCTGTATGAAACTGTGAGGGATTTCTGTTATGACTGCAGGTCTAACCCTTTGTAAAAGTGAAAAAGTGTCCCAGGAGACTTGATAGTGACACTTGAGCAATCTGTAAGTTAAAAAACCAAAACAACTCAAAATCATAGAATCATAGAACAGTTAGGGTTAGAGAGGACCTTAAGATCATCTAGTTCCAACCCCCCTGCCATAGGCAGGGACATGCTCACACTAGAGCATGTCACCCAAGGCTCTGTTCAGCCTGGCCTTGAACACTGCAGGGATGGAACATTTACCACTTCTTTGGGCAACCTGTTCCAATGCCTCACCACCCTCACAGTAAAGAGCTTCTTCCTTATATCCAACCTGAACTTCCCCTGTTTAAGTTTGAACCCATTACCCCTTATCCTATCACTACAGTTCCTAACGAAGAGTCCCTCCACAGCATCCCTATAGGCCCTCTTCAGATACTGGAAGGCTGCTATGAGGTCTCCATGCAGCCTTCTCTTCTCCAGGCTGAAGAGCCCCAACTTTCTCAGCCTATCTTCATACGGGAGGTGCTCCAGTCCCCTGATCATCCTCATGGCCCTTCTCTGGACTTGTTCCAACAGTTCCATGTCCTTTTTATGTTGAGGACACCAGAACTGCATACAATACTCCAGGTGAGGTCTCACAAAAGCAGAGCAGAGGGGCAGGATCACCTCCTTTGACCTGCTGATCACGCTGCTTTTGATGCACCCCAGTAAAACAACACCAAAACCAAACCACCCACAAGAAATGATCAGATAAAGCTAAGGAAGAAGTCACTGACATTTTTTCACCCACAGGTCTAGATTTGTACTAAGATGCAGATATATTAGTGCCTGCAAAATAGATTGGAAGGAAGAAAGTTGAGGAGCTACCTAAATTTAGCTTGTGAAATGCAACGTATTTGGAATGCTCAGTTGTCCTCATTTGGCAAACATCTCTTCACAGCCACTTATTCCAAATTTATTCTAACTCTTTAATTACCCACTCAACAAGAAAGAAATGCTAAGTCTTTTAGAAATGAAACTGTCTCAAGTTACCACCCTATTATTAGTGGAAGTTGATTTTAACACCATGAAGTGATATTTGTATATCTACTCTAATAAAATTTAGTAATAAGCAACCCTAGCTTCTGGAAAGGAAGTGTAAGATGTGGCAATGTTCTAGTGGAAAACCACAGAATCCGAGTATGGCATTTAAAACACTTCCTTACCTAAACTGAATTATAGGAACTTCAGTATATACACACATATATATAAATACATTAAAAAGTATGTAAAGAAGTCATTTCTATTTGCATGGAAGTATGTAATCACCTGTATTAGAATTGCCTCCTCTGAACCCCAATTCCTTTATGGCAAACAAAACTTCTTTTGCAGCAGTGAAGTTTTTCAGATAGAATTCAATTTTTGGATGTTCACTGTGGAAAAATAAAACTGAGTAATTAAGTGTGTAGTTCACTTTTCATACTGCTATAGCATTAGCAAACTAAAGTAAACTTTGAGTCATTCTGATCTTGGTAATATAAGGTCTTCTCTATATCTTTAATATATCTACTAAAGTAGAAGTATGCTCCTCACTTAATTCTCACAGTCCTTAGCAAGATGAATTATTTACCTGGGTGGGTGAATTAAGAACAGGATGATTCTTAGGTTCATCAAGCAGCTGAAAACATTAGGTTGAGAATATATACAGGAAAAAAACTTGAACATGCCAGATGCTAAATGCTAAATGCTCAACATCTTTCTAGTGACTATGAAAGCAAGTCTAGGTAATTAAATTAGAATCAGCCATCTACTGTATAGTTGTCTAAAGGCAGGGGAGAGGAATAGATTTTAATGATGAAAAATGCAATAGAGAAACCCTGTGCTACAGCTCAAGAAAGTCTGCTTTCTTTTGATATTCATCAGCCACTATTGATTGAATACCATTCTGCAGAATATATATTGTGATATTGTCTGCAGTGATATTGTCTTATTAATCACTCAGTTATCTTTTGTATAGATCTGTTCTTACCTGGCCTGTACAACTCCGACGTGAGGCCCTTCTGTTCCAATTCCTAACATCACAGCTACTTTTCCAACAAAGTTTTTCTGCAAATTAAATCTACGTTGGCCAATGTTGTAACTTCCATCAACGAGAAATGCAATATCAGCTTTACAGTCTGCAAACATCCAAAATAATTAGATTTACCGACAAATAAGTGTTAGGATTTTGCTTTCAAAAGTTAAATCAGTAGCTTCTTACCTTTGTTTCCAGCCTTTTTATCAAGTGTCTTCTTGGGTTTTTTACCTTCAGTGAAGGAAACAGCATGGATCATGTAAGAACAAGAAGGTGAATGATCAAAAGTGCTTAGACTCAGACAAATGACAAAATGCTTACACCCCAATATTTACATTGCAATCTATCTTCAGTAGGAATTGTCAGTATCAGTTTAAATTTGCACTACTACTGCTTTACTCCTTAGAGCATACTCTTTTTCAAATGAAACAATTTAACCTTCCTTTCTACACCTGCTTAGCTGATTGATTACTGAAATCTAGAAAACTGGGTAGATTGCTGTAGTTCACTATCCCAAGTGCTACCATTTCTCAGCAATCCTAGTGTACAGCATGCAGTTTTAATGCTTTGGAAGCAAACCATGACTTAAACTATAAAACAGTCTATTCGCAAACAACATCTCAATTCCAGTATTTATACAACACTAACTTTCATAAAAACTGATCTATCCTTTTAATGCAGTATTGTCTGTGGAGAAATTCACATAACACCTGAATTTTTACTGCACAAGTTCTGACATCACTCAGCCGTTAGGCAGTTCTGTAAGAAAGAATGTGAAATCTATGTCTTCTCTGTCACCTAAGAGGAATGAATAACCCATGAGCTCATGAACTCTTTCCTTCCTTTATGCTACCTGTATTACTTTTCCAAATTAATTCAACTTTGGGTTTTTTTTTTAATTGAAATCAGAATCGATCTCCTCATTTACAAATGGTTCCTCTTTTTGCTGGTGAAAGATATACTGCAAGAACAGATATTGCATGTCTTCTTCTTTAAAATTAAATGAATCATATGAAAGATGTCATTCTAGCCAGGGATTCATGCAGTGTAACATATCACGAGAGGCTTCCCTTGTTGAAAAGACCTTATACCTGTAGAAGGACGTGCTGTTGATACAGATCGTCCAACTGATTCAAGCGCTGTGCTCTTGATACCTGTTCAAATATTGGAAGAATAAATTTACTGTATTTTAATGCATTTAAGTGAAATTACAGGTGCTTGAAGAACACTATTTGTTTCCAGTAATCTTTCTTCTTCATCTGCTATTAGCTACTCTAGGAGTAGTACACAGGCCTAGACAAATCTTTGGTGTAATCCAGTATTGTACTCCTTGTTTTACAGGTAATGAACTTCCCTAAGCTTTTGCATTTGAAACAACAGCAGCTTATGAGTAATTACAACATATTTAACTGATGAGAAGTTTTAAGCTGTAGTAGCCATTATTTCTAGCAGATAAACTCAGGACTTGATCTTGAGAAGTGGATTTCACTTACACCCTCACCAAAAGCACCTGTAATTCCAAGTTCTTAACTATTGATATGCAATGCAATGTGTACTAGTATCTCCAGATAGCAGGCTGAATTTTACCCATGTAAATAATAAGAACACATTAGAGAGACACATTTCCCAAACTTAGAAAAAATATACAAGAAAACTTCTTTTTTTTGAAGCACAACAACATGTATAATCAGTAGGCTTCTTTATACAATCTGTAACTGGTTTGCAAATAGGCACAGTATCTCAGCTACACAGAGAAAAACTTCTGAAAAGCACATTGTAGCTTCATGACCACATCACATCTAAGTTGGCATTATCCCTTGCCTTGGAAGGTCAACGTTCTTTTTACAGGGAATGCTGCACAAGCTCTTTGAAGCGCCTGACAAGTGCTACTGCCTGCACAAAGGTAGGCAGGGGGAGAGAAAGGATAAAACTATAGCTGGAAGTGGTAGGAGGACAGGACTGCAATAGCAGGATGGAAGCACTGACTTTTATAAACTTAAACTGTCATGGAACTGCACTGTCAACTGCCTACTATCATGCCATTATATTCTAGATAACTGTAATCTATTTTTATGTATTTGCTTCTGCTACAGACTAGCTAGTCTAGCTGAAACAGTATTTTAAGGAAATCACGGGAAAATGAAGATAATTAAAAGTGAAAATTTCTGTTACTACACTCAGAGAGCATAAACAAATGTGATTACTGACAGGAGCACTGAAAGTTTCCTGTATTTCTGTTAATATTTCAGATAAGTTTGCAAAATAGTGTGATCCACCTACCAGTCACTGAGAAAGACGAAGTCCATCTAGTGAGCACCTGAGACTGGATCCCATTGGCATTTACAGCCGGGTAGCTTTCCTGCCCTGGAAGAGTCTGTACCCTTACAGCTCCTCCTGCACTGGTGATCACCCCCCTGAGATACAAAAATAATTGCTATAAATCAGACATTTTAATCACAAGAAAATGCAAATTCTAAAGTTCTGGCAGAGTTCAGACTGACACAGAAGAGCAATACTTGACAAACACACCAATTATTGACAATAATAGAATCATAGACTGGTTTAGTTTGGAAGGGCTCTTAAAGATCATCTAGTCGTAATGGCAGGGGGACCTCCCAGTAGACCATGTTGCTCTAAGCCCCATCCAACCTGGCCTTGAACACTGCCAGACAGGCATCAGAACTGTTCAGAACTCTTTATGTGTAACTGAAAGATCAGTTATTATTTTCAGAGGCCAAAATTACATGTTGAGCTTCTCTAAGAGGGAGTAAAATCTTGATTATTTGTAATACTTGGGCAGGTACTATGGGAGACAAAGAACCATTTCAAGACTATTTAAACACAGCAATGTGCACCTTTGTGTTCATTTTTCTTATCCATTTGGCTTTCTGCTGGAAAAGAGGTCCCAGTCTAATCTGCTTTAAGACATTGTGAAAGTAGAATAATCAAGACCAGAGTTTAGAAAGCCTTGCATATATTTTGGGTAATATGAGCCCTGGATATACGTGGTAAAGGCAGCTTCCACATAAATCTCCTTGTGGACTGCTGCCGAAATACAGTCCTCCTTTGTGATACATACCTCCAAATGTGATTTGCATTTCTGAATGGAGCCATGGTTTTATTTATATATATATATTTCTTGAAACTTGAAAGATTATGATAGTAGTTTCAAAATATACAGATATTTTCTCATCTAGGAACACTGTGTATAGTATATAGACAGAGGGGCTTCAGTTAAATTACCCTGGATGAGTTTAAAAACAGATTATGAAGTTGGCAAACACAAACAGCACTCTACAGCTTTTTTAAAAAACTGTGAGAGAAAAATCAGACCAGAGCCCCTAACTGGTTATTTTTAAATGACAGGAAAATTCAGTAAGTCAAGATCATCTTCAGGGAAAATAACACATTAATATATTTAAAGTACTTCAACCTAATTAGAGCATAGTTTTCTTCTCCAGTACCTGGTTCTTTTTGGCATTCAAGCCTTCACTAGTGTCTCAGTCTTAATACATCCCTGGCAGTGTTCATGACCAGATTGGACGAGGCCTTGGATGATATGGTTTAGCGTGAGGTGTCCCTGCCATGGCATGGGGGTTTGAACTAGATGGTCTTAAGGTCCTTTCCAACCCTAACTATTAATGATTCTATGAAATGTGCCAGAAATACAATATATGTAATTGGAACAGTTTCTAGTTTAAGTTTATATTTGCTACTTTGGGTTTGTATCAGCAAACCTAGTCTATGCCCAAGTTAGCTCACACAAAGAGCTTAATATCTCTTCCCACTTCCTTTGTTGTGGATTCACAACTTTGAACCCTGACTGAATTAAGACTCAAGACAGTTTAACATAAAAATTATTCCTGGAAGCAATAATTTTAGCTTATTTTCAATACAGTGTAACCAATTTTGTCTATCTTATTCTATTTGTCTATTGGTCTCTTCATTTTGATTAATCATTCCATGAAAAAAAAAAATTATCATCTGAATAGTCTTCACCGAATCTGGAAGCTTTCCACTGAAACTGAAGTGGATTTATTTTCTCCTTGTCCATGTATAGAAAACATTTGATTTTGCTTTTCACCACAAGTCAGAAATCTCTAGACTGCCTTTGGATGATACACCATTTCCATGTAACAGCTCTGCTATTTTAACGCAGGTGGGGAGATGATACTAGATGTGAATGTAACATGATCTATAGCTTTATTATTCCTATAGCTTTATTGTTTCTCTTCCTTGCCATTTTTTTCCTGTAGGTAAACTGTTTAAGCCATCTTTTACAGTCAGGTCAGTTTTACTTGTGATGTTTCTTCCAGCAAATTTACTCACAGTGCATGCTTGTATCTGATAAAATGGAATAAACCATATTGCCAGTCTGCTTTTGTATTCTGGATCAGATTGACAAATTCCATTCTGCAATCCTTTATGACTGATTTTAAAGCGAGATTCATCCTGTGTAAATCCAAAGTGGTATTTAAAGAGTGAAGAGGTGCCTATGCACTTGAGTGATTTATATCACTACAATCTGCTTCAAGTTCTTTGCTCCTGTGTGACTGACTTGCATGCCATGGCTGTTTTGATTAAACTGGAACTCTGCAGATTTTTCAGGAACAGCTTTCACATCCTTACTATGTTTAATGTTGCTGCCAGCACTGCTTCACAGCAACTTTATACAAAGCTGTCAGTCCATTCTCTTGCCTAGCTTCACTGTTAATAACAAATTGTTACTTATAACTAAATGGTAATTTTCACTCAAAAACGCATACAAATTAAACAGAAAAGCAGATACACATGGAAGCAATCCTGTACCTTACCACACTATAGCTCATGGAAGAAAGCGTATAGGCAAAGGTCAGCAGAAGATATCCCATGAAATACAGGAATTTAATCTAAAACAGACTTAAAAGTATGTATTGAGGTAAGTGAGCAGAGTGGATTGAAGCTTTAGAGCTTCATATACCTCCTCAAAATAAGTGCAAGAACTGTTTATCTGCTCTCTCAAGAGAAAGAAATGCAGGGCTGGCCTGCTCTTTTTGAAGGAGCCTGCACATCAAAACTGATGTCTACACCACAAAGAGACTCTTCAGCCATGGGAGATGATCCTTATAGATGTAACTGAAGTCACTAATCTTAGACACAGCAGGAGAAAGCTGGAATACCATCCCCTGGTTAAAAGAAAGAGGAAACACAAGGTATTTCATCTGGTGAAAACCTTTTTCCTCTGGGTAAATTTTTCATTGGTATGTTTTTATGCTAATTATATGCATCATATAGGTCTATAGGTAGGCTATCTACTTTATCAGCAGAAGAGAGAGAGCAGAAAGATGAAGGCCTGCCTTGCTATCCAAGAGCATCGTTTTGACGCGAGCTCCTCTTCCCATTGCTAACAGAGAGCATCTGGCACTTCCTATAGGGTCCTTGGATGAAAACAGCTGTCCTTGCAGCCTTCAGACAAGACAGCTGAATTACCTGGATTCCCATCTTTCCTTCCTACTATCAGCAGCTACATCAAAATCCTTCCACATTTTCTACCTTTCTCCATTACTCCAAGACACATCCTTCTCTTCTCCAAACTACAATCTCCTGCTGCTGCCTGTTTGCCTTCAGCCACTGACACAGAGCTGCTCAGGGTTTCATGCCAGCACCCTCCGCCTCCCTATGCTATGCTCTTTCTTTCTCCTCTGGACCTCTACTGCTTTGGGCAGGAAAGAAGGCTCAGCAGCAGAAGCAGGCGCTATACGCCCAGAAGATATACAGCTCAGAAATCCCTCTGGCCAGACAACCTTTTTGTAAATATTCTTCTAGTAAATGCTAGGGCAGCTCAGGGACATCCATGCTTGAGGTGATTTTGTGGCCAGCTTGGTAATACCAGAATATACTTTCATTACACCAGAATTCTGGGCCCCCAATGTTTAATGGTTCCATCCTGCGGTTAGTTAGGGAGGTTCTGAAAAAAAATTTACATGCCTATTTAGCATCAAAACCCTATCACATTGGCTCGGTCTCTATTTAGTGGAATTGGCACTAGCAAAGAACTGCAAAAGCTGAGAACCTAGTTCTTCATTTCACCTTCCAATTACTAATCCAATTAATCACTCAGATTTAACTCAGTTCATCATGCCTACATAGTGTCAGCCTTGTAGGAGGCTCTCCATTCTTCCCCAACAAATAAATCTTTTATTCTTCTGCCCAGAAAAAGAAAATATTAAATAAATATTCTGTTTCCTGAGAGTAATTACACATAAAATAAGGAGAGAAAAAGCCAAATACAACAAACTAAAACAGGCAGAGACCATATTCATCTGTAGAATACAAAACATTCATAGCTGAATTCTGCTAAATTCTTTACATGCATTGTATAGTAATTATTGTGTTAATAATTGCCTTACAGTAATGGAACTGCTCATGGGAATAAGCATTATTTGGTTTATATAAAATTAAGGAATCAGGCCTCAGTTTCGACCTGGCATACAAACTGAAGTGTATGCAAAGGGGGGAGCCAAGGCATGCTCACATAGTCATTCCCAGTGTTAAAAAAAAAAAAAAAAAAAAGAAATAAAGAGATAATCACTGCTCCCAAGACTGATGCTGCTGGAAATAGTGAGCAGTTGCCTGACCGTGCTTTCTGTAATAGCCACAGTCATTGTAATGGTGTAAGCTTGTCACTCAGCCATGCTTAAAGTATAGTTATGTTGTACTCACTATGCAAGGTGATGTAGGGAATACCTAGTCTGAAACATGATGTGATTGTTTCACTTATTTGGAAGAAATTCACAAAATTCTCAAAGTGCATATCTAATTACATTATGGTAACAGCAAATTATGGTGATTACCCATTAGTAGTATCTTCTTCAAATTACTTTGACAGCAATATGGAGTTTAGCCATTGCAACAGAGAGCAAGAAGGAACAAGTACTTTGTATGTTTTTGTTGGACTTTATAGTCTGCACTGAAATTAGCTGAGAACTAAAAATCTATTGCCTCTCCTCCATTCTTCAATCCTTTTTTACCACGGATAGCATTTATGGCTGCTAATAGTTGCAGCAAAACCAAAATATTCTCAGTTAGTAAATCTAGTTCCAAGTATGAAAGGCCAACAGGACTAACATCTCCCAACTCAAAAGTAGTCCTCAAAACAGCAGTTCTCCTAAATAGAATATTTTCACCTATATTCTTGCTTTTTCAAAACAGTTTACACACTGTCATATTCATAATGCTTGAACACTGTTAATTTACATCCTTACTGGAAGACACAGATTAGAAGGGGGAATATATTTCAACCCCTTCATTGCTGTTAGAGCTCTCATTGTTCTCACAGTGCCTGTGGAGACAGATTATTAGATGCAGGTTTTACAAACAGGGTGCATATTTCACAAGTAGTATAACTCGTATAAATACTTACTATGGAAAAATATAGGGTTTTTTTCTATACTCCTATGCTTCTGGGCTGGAGAACAGTAATACACATATAGCTTGTAAGATACAGACTTCAGTGAAAAGTGATGTATAAATGTCTGTGCTTTATTATCTAAGGGAAGACTTTGCAAAACTAGAAAAGAAATCTGCATCTTCCATTTCTTGTACCTCCCCCTTTTGTAAAAGGGTTCCGCAGCTGTGACAGAACTGATCCCCCCCAGCTTTGTTGCTGGGACCTCTCTAACAGTCACAGTCACCACTAGCACAGGAGGCTCAAAACTAACTCTCAAGTCTTTAAACCCCTTTCAAAAAAGGTCTTGAAAGCAAGAGCCTTCCCCCCCCCCCCCCTTTTTTTTTTTTACATAAAGACATCTTTGGCAACCAGTAAAGAAATGGAATGTTAAAATAAATGGCTACATCAGTAAATAGAAACACTGTCTTAGGAAAAAAAAAAGACAGTGGGAAGAAATCTCAGTTTTCCTAGATAACCTTAACAAAAACCACACACACACACATTCCTCTAATTTGATCCAGACATTCTTTCACAAGCTTTCTGTAAATACTTAAGCTAGGAAAATTGAAGAACTGAGATTTAATTTTTTTTAAATACACATGAAGACACTTAGAGCACACTAAATAGGGCATTCATTCTTTTTACAGAATGATCAAAAAGAAGCCTGTTTTACCAATAAAACACACATGAAGACATGCAACTATCTTTCAAACTAACTCTTAAGCTTTAAAAACAAATACACACAGACCCACACAATCCCTTCCAAGTCCTTTCTAACTGCCCCTATAGTACCTCAGCTCTTACTCTCCTTTACAGCATTCAGGAAGTCCCAAAGTTTCTACTCAAAACCCCTCATTAAATCCAATTTTTAAACACAGATTATTTTAGTTTATTTTGAAGTTTAAATACTGCTAACAATAACAAGATTTTCAAAATTCTGGCTAAAAGTTAGATGATTTAAACTGACACTTTAAATAAGTTTCTGAATAGTCTCTGTCCTTATTGTTAGACTTTTCTTCATGTCTAATCAAAATGACTGTTCCTAGATTGTCAGTCCTATTTTGAGTCATAACACCTTACAAAGTTTTGAATCTACTTTGCGGTAGGAAGCATATTGTGAAAAGTCTAAGTGAACAAATACATTGTACAGCCAATTAATAGATGAAGCTAAAAATCCTTCTTTAATAAACAAGAATCTTTCTCAAAGTCTTAAAGTCTAAAAATCCCTGTAGGCTGATAGTCAGGATTTAGTTCGGCTTCCACAGACAACTGAAATAAGTATCTCACTATCTGGTTTTGCCCAACATTTCCTCATTAAAAATTGATTTGTGAGAATTTTTCTTGCAAATAAGTAATTAAAATTTTGTCCTTCCTCAAAACCAAAAAAACAATAACCCCCCCAACAAAAAAACAACCAACCCCCAAAACCCCACAGATAACCTCAAAAAGATATCTGCCAACCTGTTTTCCTTTCCCTCTGTAATTACAACTAAAAACTTAAACTAAGAAAAATAACCTGGTAACATCTGTTTAACATGGGTTATCAGGATATTTTTCTTAGTCTAAGTTTTCAGTTGATACAGAAGATAATGAGACCAGTATCTGGCTGAATTAAGAGATCATTAATTAAACTAACACCCATCAAGCAACTGTCAGAAGAGAAACACTAACATAAAAAAACATAACACTGATGAAAAGCAATCATTCAGCCAAATCACAGGTAGGTCTGTTTGCACAGGAGCTTAAACCAATTTCAATCATTTCAGGAAAAAGGTCATGTAAATGAAAGTCTGAAAGCAAATCTGCTTTTATTCTCCAGTTAGTTACTATTTACACTGTAGTTCCCCATGTCTATGGATGACATGTAAGTAATCTTACGGAGAAAGTTAAAGTGGTTTTAGGGAATAGTTAAACACAACTTGGGTACCCAGGACACTTGCAAGCTGCCCAACCATTCTCTTCTTCTGTGTTCTCTTTTCTCCTAATGATGTTTCTATTGACTGAATAGGACTCCTGAAGTCCAAAAAGATCTTTGTTATGATGGCATCAAACAGTTCAGATTTAAAAAGTGTAGCAAGAGTAAATGAACTTGCTTAACACATTGATTAATAGTCATCTGACTTACCTGTGTATGGCAGCCCCACAGATACTGGAAAGAGAAGCATAAACTCCATTCCCAAAGACATAAAATTGCCACAGAGGACAGTTTGCTGGGCAAATGACATCTTCTACCTGCTTTCTAAGGTCGAGTCCTCTTGTAAAGCACGTGATAGCGGTGGGAGCTAAAGAAAAAATAAGAACCTGTGACCTGAAAATCTTTAGGGTTTGTTTTAGGTTTGGGGTTTTTCTTTCTGTGGGTTTTTCTTTTTTGTGGGTGTTACTTTTTTTTTTTAATTTCTCTACAGTTTCTAAGCTGTGTCTGTAAAGACATCTTTGGAGCATACAAATGTACAGTTATGACAAGGAAGAACACACTTTTAGATTATTTATGGGAAAGAAGTGTCAGAAAAAGGTGGGAAGGGTAAACAAAACAAGCAAACAACACAAACCCATCATTAAAACAATATCCAAGGAATACTACAGGGGGAACAATTCACATCTGTAAACTTACTGCAGAGACAGAAGGGCAAGACAAAGACCTCCAAGGCTGGAGGAGAGCATTCAGCTGGTCTGATAGCAGAGCAGGTCAGGGTTTTGACTTTGATCAACATCGACTCAGCATTGGAAGTTCAACCCATGGCTGGATATTTATTCTGAGCCTCCTAAGAGCGTATCTTGCCCTTGCTGAGCACTAGAAGGTGCAAGAACCTTTTCTATATGCATCCAGAACATTATTTTTCCACAATATTAAGATGAAAGCTGGCAGAGGCCAGCCAATGTATTTGTACATACCCCACAGTATTACATACCAAGGAGAGTATGTTTCAGGGATCAGGGATCTGACCCTCACCTGCTTCCCTGCCCACTCTTTCCACTCTTACCGAGGGTATTTACTGACCCAACATAAGCTGCTTGTACTTCAAAGTATTTGGAGCATATGCTGTTCCTCACCAGCAGATGGACATGATCATACCTCCTGCTAATCTCACCCACTTTGGAACTGAAAAGCTGAGCAGTTGCAGCCAGAGGTGCACAGAAAAGTGTGTCTGATCATTCTAGCTGCATAAATCAGATATATGTGTTGACATCCATGTAGTTTTAGTCTTCAGTATATTTAATCCTCATTAACGCTATACTGAAATTATGTTAACCCACCTAATCACGTCTTCTTGAAAAATCTTTGTTACTATTTGTCAGGACAAATACATGCCTTGAATATGTCTATCTAGCCCAGAGTAAGAAAAAACAAAACAAAACAAAAACCACAACACCACAAAAACCACAAAACAAAGCAGTAAATACTTCTTCATTTTCCCTTCTCATGATACTAAAAGCTGTCTACCTAAAAAAACACTGTAGAGTGACTTAGTCTGATTCTCTAGTATCCAAGAAAAAAAAAAGTTTCTTCCAAGACTTAGTCTTACCTACTCACTTCCTTTCCCATATTTAGTCCTACACATTTGCCTTAAAAACAGAAGTCTGAAAAATGAATCAGAATCACCATGCTTATACATAGAAGTTCTACCTTTTCCTTGTTAAAAGTGCCATATTATTGGTGTTATGCTACAAGAAGTCAATTTACTTTGCTGTTTGAGTCCCCTAATACTTTAATGCAAGTACTACAACTGCACTAGTTATTTAGTGGACAACAATCAAGCAATAACCACCAAATGACAGCTATCAAGACTATCAGAATAAAAGAGCAGCTAGGAGTATGGATGTCCTTGCAGAAATCACTGCAATAATCATCACTGGTAATCTCTGCTCTCCCAGTACTGTTTGTGCCATGCATCCTGCAATATTTTTTCAAGCTTCTAAAAGTGCAAGATGCCACAGGCAGCTCTTATACCTATTATTTCTAATGTACTGAACTTGACTGAATCCCTTCGCAAGCTGTGCATACAAAGACAATCATTAGGTATGTCCAGTTACAAACCATTTATCACTTGGAGATCTGCATTCCTCCCACCACTGGGTACTCAGTAACTAGTCATGTGTCAGGCTAATATTTACATAGCATTGGGGGGTGGGGGGTGGGGAGACACGGGACACCAACCAAAAAAAAAAAAAAAAACAAAAACCCAATAAAACAAAACCTTGCTGCTTTTTCCCTGGATATGAAAATACAAAGGTCCACTGTAGCCCAGCTCATTGGATTTTTATGTACTGATGCCTGCAGACTGTCATGATCCTTGTCTACACCAGGAGAGAGGGGCTTCTGAGGGAAGGACCTAGCTGCTGTTGAAGAGCTGACATATTGTAGCTATGGGCTTTAGCAGTCTACCTCTGTTGGATCAGCACAGAGGTAAAACACACTAAAAGCTGTTAGTTAAAAAGCAACAATTTCATTTTGGTTTTCTGTGAGCTATGTTTCTATAACCAAGATTAATATTAGGAATAGTAGGTACAGTATCAAAGTGAGAAGTACTGGGTACCAAAATCTATGCAGTGGATTTTGTTCTTTGCTGTTAATGTATCACCAGGTATCAAACACAAAACTAGAAGTAGTCTGCTGCAAACAGAAACTGCCAAAGATTATATATAAAGTAACTGAGATAGAAGACAAGAGTTTTAATCACTGTAATTTAAGAATGCAAGTGTATTAGTGGAAGCATTTCTCTGGATAAGTATGTGATCCAATATTCTAAGTCCATATATTTTTGGAAGAAGGAAAGATAAGCTTCTGATTTACAGGAAATTACTCAGTCCTGAACTCCTGCCCATTCGGGACTCTGCTGAAGACCAGAGACCTATGTTAAGTGATGTAAATTTACGCCTTCAGAACTGTGATAAAATGACCATCATCCCATTCTCTCAAGACACACACTCTTTAAGCCCCACAGAAACACACTACATCAGGGTACTCCAGAAAACAAAGGGGAAAAAAAAAAAACAAACAAAACAAACAAACAAAACCAAAAAAAAACATTTCTTCCTGATTTAAGCCATATTTAAGTGTAAGGATGAATGTCTTCTATCACTGTTGACCTAAAAAAAAAGAAGAAAAAAAAATAAAGCAAAGTCTCACTTCTCTCCTGAAATATCCATCTGATAACAACACTTTCAATCAGGCCATCAGTTTCCATCTTTTTGGGGACTCATCCCATGTACTCCAATTTGTTCTGAATAGCCGTTTCTTACACCTGCCTATAAGAGTTCTCATTTAATTTTTGACAGGACTTACTAATTTGAAGACCATAGAAAAATAAAAGTCAATAGCCAAAAATCAGAGCTTCTCTAATCTTTAGGTTTCCATGCATTGGTTTGGGAAAGCAGAATCCTTATGTACATTATTACAAAAAAAATTAGGGATTCCTAAGAGTAATACAGCTTTACAAGGCACAAAATAGAGAAGTTCATCCTATTATGTTTCTTATTCCTTTTACTATTTAGTATTGTTTCTTTGCAAAACAGGAAGATTCGAATCCTCAAGATAAAAAGGACTTAAAACAAGCGTGCTTTTTGTATCTTATGGAAGGAATATTCACACCAGCCTTATCCATACTAGAAAAAAAAACATAAAAACCTCCTAATAGAACTATAGCTGTGTATGTTTTGGAGAACATGATGACAGGTTGCATACTAATTCATGTAATCTTAAGTACATATCTTGATCTAGACAAGAGCAACGGGATTTAAAAAATCTGATTAATTTCAATCTGAGACTTGCCTTTTTCTGATCTACTTACAGTTGCTTACCAGCACATGCCAATGGTCACCCACCCCTAGAGTTTCCTGAACAGTAACCAAAACTGCTGAACTCTGCAGTATTTGCATGCCTTTCAGGGGGAGCATAAAGAAAGGTATAAAATCCCTTAAGATCTCCTCACACAGTTACAAGCCTGACACAGTAGATTTTTGAGGGAACTAGTGATCTTCCATTACTTTGAACAGCAGAATTTATAAGAATTCCTGCAAGCTCTAGTTCAATAACCAAATGCTGCTGAATTAGGCTTGGAACAATGGTAAGAGACAATATTTCACAGTAACTGTTCACATTTTATATTACAAACACATCCTAGCAGCAATATTCTATTTTGTCAGTATTGCCTTAATGTTATTTTAGCTGGTCCCAGATACCTTCAGATTACAATGGCTTCTTCTTTAACCCTGGGAGGAAGCACCACAGACAACTTTTCCATTCTTTCCTGACAGACTGTTGGCACTTCATCTGTAATGCACCTGTAAAAAAAATACGTAAGGGAATTGTGGTTGGAGTAGGTTTTCTACTGGTTGAAGTAGGTTTCTTAGCCATAGCACTCCTGTGACATGTAGCTATTAACAGTTTAGCACAAAAGACTTTTACAAATGCTTGACTGAACACAAAATGATCAGCAAATCCTACTTCCTAATGACTGTAAAATCCTGAATGGAAAAGCTTAGGGTCACTCACCTTCTGCAGGCCAGGCCTGCAGGTCTGGAAGTGCATCCTTCTGGAGGCTCCTGCCCTCCCTTGGTGCAAGGCTCTGCTTCATGGGGCAGGCGAACTGCTTGCGGTGCATTATTTCTTCAGCTGCTTCCGGTGGCTCCTGGTTCCCCTGGGGTGCCGCTGGCTCCAGGAGAGCCCGCTCTCGGCAGCAGGGATACAATCCAACAGGGCACAGTGCAACAGACAGCCCCTGCCCTGCCTGGCATTTTAAGTATGTTCTTTTGCTTTCCAGGTCAAAATAATGGCAGGGCAGCAGGTTTAAAAAGTTTTTAATCAATTCCACAGTTTAAAGTATGTCAGAGATCCTCAGATTGCCAAACACTGCGGGAGTGCCTTTGTATCACACACAAACACACCACCACTCACTCTTGCCATCAGTGTTCTCCTAGACGGGGAGACTTAGCACCACGGCTCTTCAGCCTGTGTCAGGACCGGCTTTTACCCCCGTTTGGGAGCGTTCCCGGACTCCCTCTGTGCCTCTCCCGAGGGCCACCTCCAGAGGAGCCCGACACCGTGGGGCGCGGCCGGAGGCAGCGCTCACGCTCCACAGGGCTCCGGACCGGAGGCGCTGCCAGAGACCCTCCGCGCATCCCGGCGAGGGGCGGCTGCAGCCGGCAACGCTGGCAAACACCGAGCCGGTACCGCGACCTGGCGCCCCCGCGGGCCATCATGTCCCGGCGGCGAGGGACGCGCAGCCACAGTCCGAGAGGGAAAACCCCTTGGGGAGGTTGAGGAAAGAAAGCGGGCAACTCACCCGAGCCGTCGCTCCCGCGAACGGGGCTGAAAAGCAGGAAGGTGCCTGCGAACAGACAGGGAGCTGGTCGGGGCGCTGCTCCGCGCCTTCCCCGCCGGCCCCGAGCCGCCCCCCGGGGTACCCACCGAGGAGAAGGGGGACAAGCCACATGGTGGCGGAGCGCGTCCGGACCCCGGGGCGACCGAGAGCGGAGGCGAGGAGAGCGGCACGGCACGGCGAAGCCTGCCCACTAGGGAGCCCCACCACGGATGCCAACCTCTCCGCACTGCCCTGGCCCTTCCGCGGAGCTGCACAACCGACGGCAGCCACCGCGTCCGCTTTAAACCTCTCCCGGGGCGCATGAGCACTGGGGCGGGTTCGGTGGCCAGGGCGGGGGGAAGGAGGGAGCGGGCGCGGGGCTGGGCGGCCCCGGCGCTGGGCAAGGCCCGGCAGGAGCTGCTGGCCCGGTCCGGCCCGGCCCGGCCCGGCCGGGCCCTCCCCTCCCCCGCCGCACCCTCCACCCGGGCGCAGCCCTGGTCCTCCGGAAACGGCACCCCGGGGCTTCCTTGAGCATCGGGCAAAGCCGTTAGCCCCTTTGCCCGGGAAACAGGCAGCGGAGGGGCAAGGATCTTCCCGTGCCTTTCGCCGTTTGTAGCTCCAGAGCTGCCCCCACGCTCCTCTATCTCCCTTCCACCTACAGCTTTGGAACACCTTGTTTCAGATGTCTTTATTCCAGATACCTTCAGAAATGCGAGTGAGTTGTCAGTTACCTCCCCACAACCTCTGCCCCTTCCTCGGAAATGAATGAAGGGGCAGAGCTATCACCAGCGCTGCTCACTCGGTGCTGGCCCCGTGCGTTAACTGGTTAACTAGTGTGCTGCAAAAGAGAAAACTGGGGCGTTTCAGCCTAATATAACCTTTCAGAGAGATGAAAATCCCTAAAAAGCTGATTGAATCCTTTGTATTTGATCTGAAATGTGAGCGTAAATATTACAGGTACCTACCTTTCATTTAAGCAAAACTTTGCTTAAATGAAATATTAAATGTAAATTACAACTTTGCTTAAATGAAATAGAAACAAACCCCAAAACACCACCCCCGAAACAAAACCAAAAGCAGAGCAAACCAATCAAACAAAATCCTCCCCTGCAGAGCCGGCTTCATTCTCGTAGTTCAATGCTTACACGCAGATGGGGCGTAAAGGATCAGCTGGCACGAGTGTTAAACGGGCAGGTTTCTCATGGACGGGAAGGAAGAGAGGCAGGAGTACCTTTATTCCAACGAATGCTTTAAAATCGTATTCTGTGCTGGCTGTCAGCATCTGCTGTTTAACTTCTGCTGGGATCGCTGTTCCCAGAAATAAACTTTTAAATCTAAATAAGCTTTAAGAATTCTTAGGAATTGGCACATTTGACGGGGTAGCAAATTAGGTGCGGGCATTGCAGATAGCTCTGGGGAGAGGCAACTGAGCAAGGAGCCTCGCTTTCGGGCTTATTTTATTTTACTTATTTAACTGGTCGCATAAAATGCGCATTGTGAAGTATCTATTAATATAATTGAAAATAAGTACATTTGAGATCTCTGCCATCTATTCAGAGACATGCCGCCCACTAGAGCGAAATGGGAAGCATGACCGGGTAAGTTATCAATTTCATTTATTTATTTGTTTTAAATTGGAATTTAATTCAAGTGAAGCGCAGAAGCGGTGAGAACACGATACCACCACCTTTGATCGTCTAAGAAACACATTCTTATGCTTCCCACACACAGATAAAGGTGGCGATGCTGCCCTCATGACATGGTCAGCTTCTATCGAAGCATCTCAAATGCGTTATTACTCGAGGCTGCTGGTGCAGATGCTGGCATTTCTCTCAGCTTCTCCGGACCCCTAGAGCTTGGGGAGGAATTACCGTGCTCCCTCCTCCCCAGGGGTTTTCTCTCCCTGGCAGGTCGCTCATCCTTGGCAATGGCCGCTCAAGTCTATCCCTGATCTCTCCTCCCTTGAGGACTCCCGCAGGTGCAGACGCTGCTCGGTGCTTTTCAGAGATGGTTCACGCTTTCTGTTGCAGTTCACGACGTTCTTAGAGCTGCGGAGGTTAAGAGAGAGGGGGGTTTGTTTAATTTCTATATTTACGTTAAAAAAGCCGGGAAGCCGGCAGATGCTTTGGTGCAGATGCTGCCTTGCGGCCCGCAGTGCCGGCGGCTTGTCCGCTCCGGTGCCCTCACTGTAGCATGGGGCGGGATGGGCCCGAGCCGCCCGGTGCAGGCAACCGCCGCGCCCCTGCCGCCGGGCTTCGGGAGGCCAGCAGAGCCGCGGGGCTCCGGCCCGGCGAGCGGAGTCGGTTTGTCCCGGCCCGGGCCCCATCCTGTCTAGGGGCGGGAGCGAGCTGTGCACCGGAGGAAAGGCTTCTGCACAGGTTCGTGTGCTTCTCCGAGGTGAAACGTCCCGGGAACGTCTTCTTCCCGAGGCTGAAAGGCAGGAGGGCCAGGGAGAGGCGCCCCATTTATGCCGGGAAACACGGGAAATGCCTGAACCGAGAGGGACGCTGGCTGCTGTGTCATGCAGCCCCACAGAAACCTCTCCGTCCTTGGTGTGAAGACAGGCTTTGTGCAAAGATCAGAACGGACAGAAGAAAGTCTAATGAAACTTTCAGCCTTACTCACCACCCTGCGAGTGCCCCGCGCCTTGCAGATCCCTCACTGAAAAAATACACTCACCCATCCCTCACTGCAGTACTCCTTTCCTTCTCTTGCCAGTTCTCTTTTCTTTGTTTCGCTTGATCTGCTGGGGTTTTCTGTTTCTGGCTTCTCCTTGAATTCCTTTTAGGCCTATGATGATTTTCTATATACTTTCTTTCCAAAGGCTACTTAATTCATCCTCCAAACAGTTATACATTGACTTTTACATGTTGCCTTCAAATTTATGCTTAAGAGGTACTGATCGGGGCTTTAATTTTTCAGTTTGAATCTGCGCTCTTTTGGGAAGGGCATTAAGGTGTCGCCAGGACTGCCAGTGCTCGACAGACAAGCTGGTGCCTGGCTGGTGGAGCATCTGTGGGTGCCCAGCTCTGGTCAGGCACTTGCAATGAGGCAGTTCGGTGCTTTAGCAGAGACACAGGATTTAGGGGGACTTTAGAGGAGATGTGGCAACTGTTACAGTGCCTGTGGTGCAGCCCTTCTTCTGATTCCCTGGGGCTCAATTTGCTAATTCACACCATCACCCTAGTTAGGCTCCTTTGTGAAACACTGGTTTTTGTTTTGCTCCCAAGTTACTGACTTTTTAGTAAAACCAACCTAAATGTACCCACTTAGAAAAAGCACATGGAACAAATAAAAACATTTAAGGCAGAAAAGGGAATGGCAGAAGAGGCAAGTGGATGGTGGAAGCAGCACCTAAGGGAAAGACTGTAAAACAGAACTTTTTTTATGTTCTCTGAACTGGGCTGCTACTGCCTTGCCACAATCTCTGGCAGGGGAAATGCTTGTTTATACATATATATATGTAAGTACATGTATGCACATCTGCAGTGATAAGAAGCACAAGAGCACACCTGGATCACTGGAGCTCTGCCACTGTTCCTGTTGAAATGCTCCTTGGCAACTCCACCAGCTGCCAGGCTCCCAGCCAGGGCTCAGCTCGAGGCTTACTCCAGCCTGGGAAGTACGTTGCCTCCTTCTTTGGTGGCAGAGTGCTCACATATACAGGCCTGTGCCAGACCATGGCAGCTGGCCAGGACCCACTGAGGCACCTCAGCAGGGGCTGCAGAGGCAGCAGGCACCTTGCCTGACGTTGCACAGCCCAGAGTCCTCTCCAGGAAGGGTTTTCTGCAGCAGGCTTTTAACCACCGCCAGAAGCAGCACAGAACCATCCTCCAATGCACAGCCTGGAAACTCGAGCGTGGAGGAAGAAAGATAGCCTCACACAGGTTTCTCTTTTAACAGCTCAAGCATGACTGCTAGCAAATAGTTCCTGGCAGGCAGCAGACCCTTGCCTACCGTAAATTTACGTGGTTTAGATTAGCAATTTATTTTACATACTAACTGTGGAGTTTTGCGAGGAGGGGCCAGATGTGCCTGTTACCTCTGCTGTCAGGGCTTTCCCCACAAAGGGGCAGAGGACCAGCTGCCTCTCCCCTGTGATCAGTACTGAGCTTGCCTATGCCCTGTCCTGTTCTGTGCTCTCCAGTGTGACCTGAAGGCTAGTTCTTACAATGATCTCTCAAGAGACTATCTTAAGAGAAAATTTAAATTATGTTTGCTACTCTGGGTTATATAACTGTATTAATTTAAATAATCATCTTAAACCTTTCACTGATATGAAGATAAAAATGAAGCCTGGGGATAAAATAATAAAGATAATAGTAAACAACATTTTCTTCACATATCAATTTTAAAAACATAAAATTGTAATGATTATTTCAGAAGTGGCTAATGACTTTGGATTCATTCTTGGCTGTTTAACTTGGGATATCATCAAGACCTTGGTTAGCACAGAGGTGTATTTTTGTAAGCATTTTGAAAATATTTTTCTGTGTGCAAACATCAAGGACTCTTAAATAATCAGTAAAGAGAAGAACGGGGCCCCCCTTCCATCTGCTGTCTATGTGCTTCACTGTTTCACTTTAGGCAGCAAGGACAATGTGTGCTGGAACAAACTGCCAGTCAGAACATCTTTGTTTTTTCCCACTGAGAACTGGGGATGCTGATCTTTGATATGAATCCCAAGGTGTGCTTCCTGGAAACAGACAATGACTTCAGATCATTTCAAACCCTGTTTCGGCAGCTAGCATTTGTAGTCTGAGGGCTCACCCATCTCCTGTTCAGTCCAGAGGTCAGAGGTACTGCTTCCTATTTCATGGGAACACGTTTATTAGAGAAATATGTAGCTTTGAGTAAGCGAGGTGCAATTTTTTGCTTCATATAAACATTCTGTTAATCCTGAATGGGAAGTGCCCAGTCAGAGCCTGTCTGCAGTCGTACAGGTGTTATTGAACGTGTGGCTTCTGTTATTCCTGACTCTGCAGTGGGTGAACATGCTGTTCCTTCCACTCCCTTCAGTAACGGTCATCTGCATATTTTGAGGGTAATCCAGGGCACCACACAGTAGCTGTTCTTTAAAACATGAATTCTTTGTCTTTCCTTCCTGTGTACTTTATTCGGAAGAGTTTATAAATGGAAAAGATATTTTCTGATTAACTTTATAAAGCAAAGGTGCAATGAACTCAGTTTATCCAATTCAACCCCTTGTATGTGGAATAGAATGGAACAAGCAATGTCTCTGGATCAGAATTTGAATTGGTCCCATTTCTCTTGATTGCTGTGATATAAGAAGAAGAAAAAAATAGAAAATAAGAAATATTTGTAAAAGTGCATGACATGCAAAGACCCTCTTAACACACTTTTGTTGCTAATCCAGAAAGTACATGTTGCAAAAACTAGCCAGTGCCTGTCATTTTGACAAGCAGAAATGTGTCACTGATGGATTGCCCAAAATCAGAATAATGCAAAATCATTTATAACTCTTCTACACTACAATGGGATTTTGAATATCATAGACTAATGAAAGTCTAACCTACCTGTAGTTTATAC